GGTTTTCATGAGAAAAAGCCCAAGGACTTTCAGTCAAAGGCTCAAAAAGTTTGATGAGATTGTCTGTCTGTCTGTCTGTCTGTCTATCTGTTTTAGAGGATTTCTTGCATTCTTATCACATAACCCAGAGAAAATGTCTCTGGTGATTATGTGAATGAGGGTTTAATAAGCTGAAGTTAAATCTAGGTAAGGCAGAGAAATTCTCAGTGAGGAGTAAACTTATTTCTCTGATGCTGGATGGGGTTTGAAAGAGTAAGATACAGTTTGGAGCTGCCCCTTAGCATAGCAGATTTTCCAGATTCATCTGGTACACTAATTATGAACATTTCTGGAGCATGCTGACCTTGGCACCACTTGGTTACATTACTATAGTTTTCTACAGAGTTGTACGTAAAGATCCTTTGAAAGCTGCTGTTTGTCCAAAATATGGCAATTAGAATTACAACGAGCTCTAAAAGAAAATGCGAAACTCCAGTGTTATGCAGCTGTATTGGTCACCAATTCATTTCCAGGTGCAATTCAAGGGACAGCTTATGATCTTCATAATCTGTTAACAGATGGTGACCATCAGACTCCCTAAAATACTGTGTGAATTTGCCTGGCCTGTAATTTAGCTTTAGCAAAGCACCCTTCCTTGTTTGATGTATATCCCACTTTTTCATTTAGCAGGCCAAGGTGGCATACAGAGTGCTACCTTCTTCTAGTTTTTGCCACAAAAAAACCCTGTAAAATAGGCTGGGCTGAGAGGGAGTAAGTGGACGAAACCCCTTGAATGAGATTAGACTGAGATCTGGGTCTCCCCAGTGCCAGTGCAATACCTTAACAATCATACTACACTAGCCATCAGTGTAATGCTTCTTTTCCTTAAAGCATTAAAACCAGGTTTTGCAGGCCTGAAATAGGTACAGGTTGTCCTTGCTTAGCAACCACTCGTTCAGCGACTGTCCAAAGTTACGATGACACTGAAAAAAACAAGACTTGCGACTGGTCCTCAAAGTTGTGGCCGTCACAGCGTCCCCACAGTCATTGTTCATGATTCAGATGCTTGGTAACAGACACACATTTACAATGGTGGCAGCATCCCACAGTCATGTGATCGTCATTTGCAACTTTCACATCTGGCCTCTGACAAGCAAAGTCAGTGGGGAAGCCAGCACGAAGTTGCAAGTTGCACTCACGTGATATTGTGCTTAACGACCCATGGTGATTTGCTTAATGACCACAGCTGGAACTGATATTGTAAATTGGCGCAGTCACATGACATCATGCTTGATGACTGCGGTGCTTAGCGATGGAGTTGCTGGTCCCTATCACTGTCAGTAAGTCGGTACTACTTGTACTTCAGAGCTGTTCCCAAATAGCTGAATGTGTGCATGCATGGTGATATCCACTGTGCATCCACTGTGACCACAGTGAAACAAAGCAGCTTTGCATGCACAGACATGTGCAGAAAGTCAATGACAGCCTCTGAAGCAGCCACACTGACATGCTTTGTTAAATAACTCTTTGTACAGCTTTGCACAGCCCTAATCGAGCATCTTAAATAAACATTTAAAATAAAATATATCAAAGGTGAGTTGTTAATTCCTTTCTGGTGTGAATTAACAGCAGCAAAGATGTTTTTCCTACAATGCCTGAAAGTAAAGTCACTGGATTTCACCAGAAGGAAAATACTTAGGCGGGAGGATTTTGGAGTCACGAAGAGGAAAAAGAGTTGATCTCTGCAAATCAAACTCAGATTAGATACACTGGAAACAGATTTATCAAATTCGGAGACTTAGCCATTGTTATCCAGAATAGTTTTGTGTTCAAAGGGTACAGCTTTGCTTTATAGTAAGCAGTGAACAAATATGATAGTCCACTGCCAGAATAAAATTAGAATGTTCAACTTAATCATTTTTTTAGCAGTTAACTAATTTCAGTGGAGCTTGAAATTAATAAGATCAATAAACCAATGGAAAGCCTAGTAGTGTCAGTGAAAGTATTCCAGAATGGGTGGGGAGTCTCCACAAACTGAGCTTCTGAAAAATGAAGATTGGGAGATTATTTCCATTTTGAATTTAGGATATTGTTAAGAATTAGAAGGTATGACTAAACCAGAAACATGGTTATACTGGCCATTTTATCTTTTAAATTAGCCTTCCCAATCCGGTGTCCTTCAAATGTATTGGGGCTATAACTCCTGGAATAGTCATGGCTGGGCTAATCCAGATTTCTGAGAATTGTTGTTCCAGTACATTTGAAAGGCTCCAGGTTGGAAAAGACTGCTTTAGAAGTCAGAGTTTTCCACTTTTTTTCTGCTCCACTTTAACGACAGGAGCAGTTTAAATACAAGAGAAACAGTGAAACATCGTATGGCTTGGGGTTTTTTTCCCCAACACTTCATTGAAGTGAAACAGCAGGAATCTTACTGAGTGTAAATTTTATCTGAATCAGCCTTTGTTTCCCTTGCCTCTTTTATCGATCAAGCTTTGTTTAATTTGCAAAGTATGATCATGCTGTGTTTGTGTTCGTAAAGATAAATGAAATCTCAGCTCGGTTATATGCCCAATATCCCTGAATATTCCCTACGTTTGTTTTCCATGTCAGACTTTATTTTATTTTTGTGCTCTTTAAGTATGGTGCCTGCTGTCACCAGAAACGATCTATGAACTGAATTCCACTATACATACCCATGTTTACAAGGAGTTTGAGCATAAACTTGTGTCATTGTTAAAGAAAAACAACTTGTATCATTATTCTGTGTTGATGTTTCTGATGGCTGCTTAATGTTTATGTTTAAATAACAGTAATTAAAATTCATGTGGCAAAGCACTATGTTCAACTTCCTTTGAACTTTGCTTTAGAACAGGTAGTTCTTAGCTCTTAGTTTTCTAATGCATACCTATGAACAACGAGTTAAATTTGAATTATCTCACAATATTTGAGAAACCTAAGTGAGGGCAGTTAATCAGGTCATGGCGCCTGATGAAGTCCATCTCTGGCCCAAGTGTCTACATGAGTACTTAGGCTACACTGTCCTTTCCCCAAGACAATTTAAACAGTATATCCATGTGCATTAACTCCCTTATATTCGCAGTCAGGATGGGCATCTAATGATCCCAAATATGCATAGCCAGTGTTCAGAGTTGATGGGAATTATACTCTAACACCATCTGCACATAGTTTCTATTTTGCTAAACCAATAACAATATTCTATTAGCCAGTTCCAGCAAGCTATACTCATGCTGTGTGTATAGAAGGGCATATGTACCTAGTAGACTACTCACTGCTTCATGAAGAGTGACACAGGTTTGATAGTGGGGTTTCTGATGAATAGGTAAGGAGTGGGAGTAAGGATTAAGCTAGGCAAGCAGACCTATCCCCCTTCACTTTTTTGCAGTTCAGCAGCGTCAGCCCTTGAGAAGAGGAGCCTTTTAAACTATAAATAACTAGTAAGCATAAGGAGGAAGTACAGAGAAAGCTGACTCCATATTTCTCCCTTTCCTCCTCTTTGTTGGTTGATCCTTTGAATATCAAGCCATTTCTTACCCTTGTGGAGGAGGGGGAAAGTAGTATCCTATTGTAATACAATTATATTTGGGGATTTTAATGCTCAAATAATTCAGCAGCTATTTCAACTTGGGAGTTAACTCAATGCTTTTTAGTTTAAAGTGAGGAATAGTGTGTTATGGTATGGAATAATTAATGCCATGTTTTTGAATTTAGGGTCCTACTGGGGAGACTGGTCCAATTGGTGAAAGAGGTCACCCTGGTCCTCCAGGGCCACCAGGTGAACAGGGTCTTCCTGGTGCTGCAGGGAAAGAAGGTGCTAAGGTATATGTTCACTTTTCATAAACTTATGAAAATTTATACTGTGGTTCATGGAATACATTTAGTACTTGGCCATCAAGTCATCTGTCTGGGATTTGCAGCTGCATTCTTGCCTTGCAATTTCTGCACTGAACAGCGAATTGAAGTAAATAGCTTCTATAATCCTTTCCAACTTTGTGATCCTAGACATGTTTTTCTTTTCTTCCAGTAGAGAACCACAAAGATCATTGTGGGACTTGCTACACAAATCGGATTACATTTTGGCACAAGTGAAGTAGCACTTGCCATAACATACAATCCTCTCTTAATTGAACAAGATGGAAGGTCTAAATTGTAAAAGGCTCCAAAGTTCAAAAGTAACAAGCTTGTGAACTTTAACAGACCAAAGGTTTTGAATGGAATGACAAGATAACCATTTCGTTGCCATGTAATTAATTATGCTATAATTTTCTCTGAAGGTATAAAAGTGCAAGGTTGAAGCTTGACGCTTTGGATTTTGAGGTGCTGCATTTAAAAATACAGATTCACCACGCTTTAATATAAACTGGAACTTGTATGACATAGCAGCTTCCATGTAACTACCTTTGTGATAAAAACCAAAATGAGATCAAGTTAACAAAGGGGGTGTTTACTTATAAAAGACACATTCCTGATTCAGGAGCACGTTTAAAAAATATCACACATTCTGTTCAGTATTGACATAATTTTCAGAACTTACCTATAAGTAAGCCCTCTTTATTAGAGTTGCAATTATAATACAGTATATGTGATGATTCATCGATGAACTGCCTGTTTTTGTTTTGAAAACTGGGCTTTAATGGCCAAATTTTGGTAAAGACTATTTTCTGTTTTCCTAGGGTGATCCTGGTCCTCAAGGCATTTCTGGAAAAGATGGGCCTCCGGGACTACGTGGTTTCCCAGGAGAAAGAGGTCTGCCAGGAGCTCAGGTAAAGTTAGAAGGACCAAAAGGGGAAGGAACATTGATGATATGGTGATTTGATTTGGTGGTATCTGACCCTTAAGTGCATTGGTCAAGGAAGACCCAGATTTCCAGGCCCACAAAACTGGTCATCCCTGTCTTGAACATTGCAATAAAACATTATCTGCTTAACATTTGTAGGCTTAATTAGTAGTTAAGTCATTGTGAGGAGGTAGGCAATATGGAACCATTCATTAAGCTGAATATTAATAAAAGCATTGGCTTAAAAGAGATGTGTTTATTTTACGTCTATTTTTTTTTCTTTTTGTTCTCAGCCCATAAAGAATTAATGTTTATAGAACAAAGTTTTAAAATTTGTGTTGAAATGCTTTGTGGTATTTATCTTCAATAATAATAATAATTTCTTATGACTTTGGTAGGGTTCAGCAGGTCTGAAAGGAGGTGAAGGTCCCCAAGGTCCACCTGGTCCAGTTGTAAGTAGGATTAGCCTGCAGTGTATGGAACAATGACATTTTTCACAGAAGATGTGTGTGTGTGTGTGTGGGTGGGTGTGGGTGTGTGTGTGTATGTACATACACAATTTCTTTTTATTTCTTTCATGCTGCTATGTGTGTGTGTGTGTGTGGGTGGGTGTGGGTGTGTGTGTGTATGTACATACACAATTTCTTTTTATTTCTTTCATGCTGCTATGTGTGTGTGTGTGCATGCACACTCTTGTAAAGCTATACAAATGTATAATGGGTATCATTCAGATCTGTCAGTAGCAGTTTCCTAGTAATTACAGGAACTAACGACTCCATAAAAAAGAAGAGACTCTAAACTTAAATGCGTTGGCCTCTCTCAAACCTGCTGTTAGCTGCAGGGGGCAAATTGCCTTTCCTTGTTCATTAGATATTTCAAGGCAAAAAAAAAAAAAAATAATCTGCCTCTAGTGGCAGGAAATTGAAAAGCACGGTTTATAAACTAGAGACAGATAGGAAATTCTTTCCTGTATTCTTTTGCTTCCAAAATACATGGAATACAACATTAGGGCCAAATTACAAATTAGGTTACTCATGTTTCAAAAGGCACCTGCTTAAACCACCCATTTTTGTTCTGAAGAAAAAGCAGCTGAAGTGTACTGATCCAGACCACACTGCACACTTCCAGATCATGGATCTGTGTCAATTCCTGTCAGAAATCATATCCTCCCCCTCTTGTAATTTGCACCCACAGATGTTGTTTACTACAAACTGTCTTTTGCTAGACAAATGGCAGCTGGGAGGGGCAAGCAGAGATTTTCCTCAGGAAACCAGCACAAGAGTCCTATCCGGAATATATTTCAGGTGAAGTACCTGCAGCTGTCTTTCCTTCTGTACCAAATTGGCCAGTTTAAGCGTGTTCATTTTGTTTAAAGTAGCGTGCACTGTACCCTTCAATTATATACAAAAATCCCTGAGAATAAATCTGTCTATGGCTGTTTTTGAGTTGAAAGCAAAGTTATTTATGCGGAGCTCTGAAGGACTTACATCACATGGCTGCTGTTGGAGAATATTCCCATCCTGGCACTGTATGCTGAAAGAACGGCAGGATTGTCAGTGGTGTGCACTGACACCCATGAACTTTGCATCTTTTTTGTTTATTTGGCACTACAAGACTTTCTGACAAAAGTCAGATCGTTTCTGAGCTGTGTTACCAGGATTAGAACTCAAAGCGAATGCATTTTTACAAGCAGTAGCATCATTATTCTCAAACATGAAATGATTTCCCAGATTAGCAGTTTCAACCATTGAAAGGAGTCTTATACCCAGTAGTGTGCAGGAACCAGCTCCTCCTGGCTTACAAGAGCCTACTGCTAAATGTTCAGGACTTTTGTGAGCTGTTTGAGAATAGAGCTGAGCCGCAATGCCTAACGCACCGATCAGCTGTTTGGCAGTTAGCAGCGTGGAGGCCAGTTATACATTTATCAGCACACCACTGCTTTTATCCTTTATTTGTCAAAACAGTGGGGATCGGCTGGTCCTTCTATCACTGCTGTCTGTATTGGATGTGATAGACAGGGATTCCCTTTTGCCTATCCAAAACTCAGCTTTTTAATCTATACATACCTTACTTTGGTTCCAGAGGATGGAAGTTTGGTATTAAAACCAGTTCATGTATGTGTAGTTGAGAGCCAATAGAGGTTCTGTCAGGTTTTGGGCAGGAAGAGTTTTGGGGTCTTTTGGTGAGAGAGTTGGCTGGAGTCCTGGAGGTGGGGCAACCTCAGGCAAGTTTGGAAGAGTTGCTTGAGAATTGCATTATCATTTCCCCCCATTTTATCTCTTTTTTGCATTTTATCTCTTTTTCACTATGTTAGGTGTGTAGAACCCTCTCTCCCTCTCCCTCTCTCCCTCTCCCTCTCCCTCTCCCTCTCCCTCTCCTTTAATAAAGTTGATTTTTGTTTACATCCTGGAGTTGACCACTTGCCTTCTAGCACCTGCCTCACCTTGGCTGAGCTACAGTCTCTCCAAGAGGTTTTGTCTGTTTTCCCTTTCTGTAGTTAGCCAGACCCAGGGTAAGATGAGGATTTCCCCTTCAATCCTCCCTTGGTTCCCCCAGAGGGCTGGGTGGGAGTGAGAAACCAAGGGGTAGTGGCAGCAAAGGGACCTGCTTTTCCAGTCGCTGTCCTTCCCACATGGGGGATTATCTCAGAAGTGAAGAACCTGAAGAGAAGGCTGGTTAAATCCTGAGGGGACCTTTCCTTATTACGGCAGTAGAAATTCTCTGCTTTCCACCAGTCCATATTCTACTGACTGTTGGGTAACAGCAGAGTCATAAGATTCAGCCCGGGCTGGATTACACTATATCACTTTTAATATGTGTGTGAGTTAGCATAGCTGTTTTGTCCCTTTATATATGTGATTTCATACAACTGCATGTACATAAAAGGAAGCACACAGATACAGTTATAGATAAATACAATGTATATGTGCATGGGTATGAATAACTGTTCCTTAATGTTAATATTAATTTAATTGTTGTACTCCTCCCAGAGTCACTTTGCATGAGATGGGCGGCTATATAAATACGATAAATAAATAAAATAAATAAATAAAATATAGACCAGTGTTTCTTAAACGTTTTGCTCTCAGGACCCCTTCCCACTTTTAAAAATAATGGATTCATAAAATATTTATTGAATCATGTAAAAATAACCATATTAAACCCATTAGATATTAACATAAATAATTTTTCATGAAAAAACCCTACATTTTTTAAAGAAATAAAAAATAATGATAACAAGGGTGACATTGTTTCAAATGTTTGCAAATATCTTCAAAACCTGGCAAATCATTTTGATTTTTCAGATGTCAGAGGGGATCTTGGGGGACCCCCAGAGGTTCTTGGATCACACTTTAAGAAACATTGATAAACACTGTGCTTTTGTGATTCTCTATTAGCAAATTCTCAGAA